TCTCTACTAAAAATACCTGGTGTGGTAGTGCACACCTGTAGTCCCAGCTACTTGGGGGACCGAGGCACATGAATTTCTTGAACCCGGAGGTGGAGGTTGCAGTGAGCCAAGATCGTGCTACTGCACTCCAGCCTGGAGCAAGACTGTCTCAAAAAAAAAAAAAAAAAAGGTAAAACAAAATGAGAGAATATCTAACTGTTGGAGAGTTCCTGCATTTAATAGATGCTGAAGAGCTGCACCTGTTAGCTGTTCTTTTCCCCAGGATATTACAGAAGATGTGGCTGTGGCTTGAGAGGAGAGAAGATGTGGATGGACTGAAGGCCATCACAATTGTATTTTTAATGGGGGTTGGAGAGGAATGGATATTTTGAAAAAGCTCCAGTGATTTTTTTTTTTTTTTTTTTTTTAAAACCCTGGTTGTGAACTACTTGCTTTGATACTGGATTTTGAAAAACCAAAGGCTTTAAAATTCTAGTTATGGACATTTTAAAAAATTATTTTTAATTGACGTGGAATAAATGTTTATAGGGTGCATGGTGGTTTGAAACAGTTTATAGTGATCAGATTAGGGTAATTAGCATATCCATCATCTCAAACATTATTTCTTTATGTTGAGAACATTCCACATCCTTTCTTCTAGCTCTTTGAAAGTATGCTTTATTGTTAACTACAGTTATCCTGAAGTGCTATAGAACACATTTCTCCTATCTGGCTGTAATTTTATATCCTTTAACAAATCTCTCCCTATCTCCTTCTCCCAACTCTTCCCAGCCTCTAGTAATCTCTCTTCTTTTTACCTCTGTGAGTAAGCTAGTACAGCCACTATGGACAACAGTATGGAGATTCCTCGAAAATCTACAAATAGAGCTACCATGTGATCCAGCAATCCCACTACTTACTGGGCATTTATCCCAAGGAAGTTGTTTTTTTAAAGCTTCTTGATCTAGGAAGAGTGAAACTTGGCATTAGGGGTTCATAGGAGGAACTCTTTCTTTGCTAAATGCTGAGTTTTGACTTAGTAATTAGATTTGCTACTGGACCCACTGTTTTTATTGTCCAGACATATCCTGTAGGATATGCTATTCAAATGTGGTCCACAGAATGTTTGTTAGTAGTCTATAATGAGAGAAGGACAGAAACAGAAGAAAGTTTAGAAACTTTAACATCAGTTTGTGACTGATCTAATAATAAAAAATGGTGTTTTAATTTTACATGCCTTTTAAAATTTTATTTCCCCAGTACACTGTCAGTGAATTTCACAAGTGTGAGTCCAGTGGATGAATTAGAAATAATAGTAATTTTTAAACCGGTCCTGAGATGGCTTTAAACTGAGTCCTTAAAAAATAGCCACAGCTCCAAGGCCAGCTGTGGTAGGCTGGCACAATGACTCATTGAATGAACTCCTCTGTACACTTTGATAAAAATCCTGGGCAATTGAGAGCAATCTTTGGCTCTGAGGAGCAATTACTTACAAAAGTTGACAAATTCCTTATTAATTTCCAAAGGGAATTACTGGAATTCTGGAATTGCTGTAAGTGGAGAGGCTACTCTTGTTTTGACTGAAGCCCTGTGTGAGAGGGATTCTCAGCGCCTGGGGCATTAGTCATGCTTTTGTCTTACTCATTGCAAGATGGGGCGGTGGGCATTTATTCTGGACACCTGAGCTACAGTCATTGAGTAGGAAACTGATTACACATAATTTTCAGTAGTAATTTCAACTAATCAAGTTTACTTGTAAAGGAACAACTTGCTTTGATACTGGATTTTTAAAAACTAAAGGCTTTAAACTCCTAGTTACAGGCATTTAAAAAAATTACTTTTAACTGACACATAATAATTGTACATATTTATAGGGTCCATAGTGATGTTTTGAAATAGAGTTTATAGTAATCAGATTAGGGTAATAGTTCAAAAGGAAAGCATTTGAAAAGACTTTTGGTGTCAAATATTAAAAGTTTTGGTGTCTTTTTTTTTTTTTTTTTTTAAACAGTCAGTATAATCCCACTCTAAAGTGTGGGAGTCTTCTGAGGCTGAAAGTGTTGGGGAAGATACAAGTATGTGAGGCGAAAGCCTCCAGCAGCTCCTGACCTTTGTACGACTCCTGTGTGTTGGGATGGAAGGGCATGAAGGCTGCCCCTTCTTCTAAAAATTCTAAAATGGCTGTGTATGAATGAAATCTGTCAAAATTGACCCAAGCGTTTTTTTTTTTTTTTTTTTTTTTTTTTTTTTTTTTTCATTTATTTGAGACAGGGTCTCTGTCATCCAGGCTGGAGTACAGTGGTGTGATCTCAGCTCACTGCAGCCTTGACCTTTCAGGCTCAAGCAGTGTTCCCGCCTCAGTCTCCTGAGTTGCTGGGACTACAGGCACATGCCACTGTTCCCAGCTAATTTATATATATACATAGTTTTTAGAAACAGGTTTGCACTATGTTACCCAGGCTGGTCTCAAACTGCTGGTCTCAAGCAGTCTTCCTGCCTTGGCCTCCAGAAGTGCTGGGATTGCAGGCATGAGCCACGGCGCCCGGCCAGTTTTTTACTTAGACTGATCAACAATGGCAGTTTGGCTTCCACCATCTTTTAAACATAAGAACAACGTCACTATAAGAAAAAACAGATGAGAGCTAATTTTGGTGGGTTTAGTTTTGTATCCAAATCTCCTACAAGTTCTGTTTCTAAATCAGTTTCTGAGAACTAGAACCCAGGCTTGCACATTAATAAGCCTGGAATTTGTTTAGATGTATTCTTTGGCTCTTTATTTATTTCCTCATTATAAAAATGGAAAAGAAAGCATGTTTGAATTGCCCATGATACCCAATTCTAACTCAGCTATTTTTATTATCATGTATTGTTTCCCCGTCCTCATCTGTACTCATACATTTTTGAAACAAAGGAATTTTATTGCCTTTCCAAAAAAGTTGTACTAGTTTACAATGTGTCACCAGCATTGCATATAAGAGTGCTAATAAAAATGTTGCAAAATTCAGTGTAATGTTTTTTTCTATAGTGAGTATAAGAAGGATAACTACTGGCTGGGCGTGGTGGCTCATGCTTATAATCCCAGCACTTTGGGAGGCTGAGGTAGGTGGATCACCTGAGGTCAGGAGTTCGAGACCAGCCTGGTCAACATGGTGAAACCCCATCTCTACTAAAATACCAAAAATTATCTGGGTGTGGTGGCAGGTGCCTATAATCCCAGCTACTTGGGAGGCAGAGGTTACAGTGAGCCAAGATTGTGCCACTGCATTCCAGCCTGGGTGACTGAGTGAGACTTTGTCTCCAAAAAAAAAAAAAAAGGATAACTATTTCAAGGATTTTAGCATATCTTTGTTAACTATGATGAGCCTCTTTCTTCTCATAATGATTATTTTTTTGGATGTGAATTATCCATACGTTCTAATGTATTTGTGTTAAAAAAAAATTTTTTTTTTTTTTTTAAGATACTGGCCATTAGTACTTGGTCTGGATTTTTTGAGAAGTAAAGACTTTTTTTTTTTTTTAAAGACGGGGTTTCACCATGTTGGTCAGGCTGGTCTTGAACTCCCGACCTCAGGTAATCCGCCCACCTTGGCCTCCAAAGTGCTTGGATTACAGGCGTGAGCCACCACGCCTGGCCTAAAGACTTTGTTACTCTCTGAGGCTAAAACAGAATAAAATCTTTTCTCAGTATTGTTCCTTTCTTACACAAAACTCTCTTCCCCTTATTCAAAAGTTGTATTTGTTTTTTTGAGACAAAGTCTTGCTCTATCGTCCAGGCTGGAGTGCAGTGGCACAATCTTGGCTCACTGCAACCTCCACCTCCTGGGTTCAAGCAATTCTCTTGCCTCAGCCTCTTGAGTAGCTGGGATTACAGGTGTGCACCACCATGCCTGGCTAATTTTTGTATTTTTAGTAGAGATGGGGGTTTTACCATGTTGCCCAGGCTGGTCTCAAACTCCTGACCTCATGATCTGCCCACTTTGGCCTCCCAAAGTGCTGGGATTATAGGTGTGAGCCACTGTGCCTGGCCATGTATTTTTGTTTTTTATGTATAGGCAATCTTGAGCAGTAACAAGTAAAAATTGTCTAAAACTGTTAAGTCCACAACCATTAAATGTTTGCAAGGATATAAAACAAGGAGAACTTGTTAGTCACTGCAAATGAGAGTACAGGTTGGTTCAGGCACCTCAGAAATCCAGTCAAGCCAAAGTTTCACCTGCTCTCTGACCCAGCAATTGTACTTCAGCTCTGTGTGCAAGGAGATGCACTGGAATGTCATAGCATCGCATGGCAAAGAGCATTTTGGCAACAGCTTGGATGGCCAGCAGAAGGAGCCCGAATGTGTGACTCATATTCACTAGTTAAATAATTGAATGCTACAGTATACACTATATATGCTAGGCTGTATGTGTTGTTCTAACTATAGTGATTGAACTCAATTCAGTGAAAAAAATGGAAGAATTAGCTATTTGTATCCATGTGGGATACAAAAAAGCAGGGTAACAGAAGAATCTACATCATCTTGCCGTTTGCAAGTAAAGCTTCTTAAAAACCACAGGAGAAATGCAAGAAGAAATGCATAGGAATGATAAGTACCAATTAGGTGGAGGGAAACGAGGAGAAGGCCATCAGGGACTGGCACACATGGGACTAACTGGGCACATGGGCATTTGTAGTAATGCACTTTATACCTTTCTTTATATGCAAAATATTTCATGGTGAATTTCTTTTAGAGGTTTGACAAACAGCTGGGGGTACCTGATTTGTTTTAATCATCCTCATGCTAACAAAATTCTTCATCAGATAAAACCTAATTTTTTTTTCTCTTTCAAATTGGTTTTAAATGTCTTCTCCCTTTTCTTCTCTGGAGAAATAGAAATATCCTTGATCATACTGCTACTCGTGTTTTATTCATTTTGGTAGTCAACTAAGACGTTTTTAATGCATTTAGTGTTATCTGAACTGTTCCGTTAACCTCATCTGCTCAGGCATCTGAAGATGATATGCTTTCTCTTCCCCTGCAGGTATTCACAACACTCTCTGTGACCAAACGCTCTGGGGCAAGCATCCTGCAGGCTGGCTGCTGAGGTTAAGCCCCAGTGTAGATGCTGTTGCCAAGACTCCAAACCACTGGCTCGTTTCCGTGCCCAAATCCAAGGCGGGGTTTTCTAGAAGGTTCTTGGGCTCTCGACACCCACATGTCCTGTGCTTACCACCGCCCAAGGCCCCCTTGGATCTCTTGGATAGGAGTTGGTGAATGGAAGGCAGGCAGCATCACACTGGGGTCACTGTGACAGACTCGAAGCTGACATTTGGCAGGGCATTGTAAGGATGCATCCATGAAGTCACCAGTCTCAAGCCCATGTGGTAGACAGTGATGGAACAACTGTCAAATCAGTTTCAGCATGACCTTTTTTCTTTGTGGATTTTCTTATTGTCAAGTTTTCTAATGTTGGTTTTTTTTTTGTTTTGTTTTTTCTTTTTTCTCTATGGTGTTAATGATATTAGAGATGAAAAACGTTAGCAGTTGATTTTTGTCCAAAAGCAAGTCATGGCCAGAGTATCCATGGAATACTCGTGTTGCATGGAAGGGATAGTTTGGTTCCCTTGGAGGCTATGCAGGCTTGTCCCAGGAAAGAGAACTGTCCTGCAGCTGAAATGGATTATTCTTCACTGATGTGCTCAGCAGTTTCTTCTCTGATACATGTCCAAAATGAGTACATCTTCGATCGACTCTAGCCAGATTTGCTCGTTTGCTACATCACGGACGATTATTGTTTTAAGGTCTGTTTAGGAAGGGAAGTGGCTACCTGGCCAGCCATTGGTTGACATTTGGTAGTATAGTATGATTCTTGCCATTATTCGTCATGGGGGCAGACATACACCAGAAATGGGGGGGAGTAACAGTATATACCTTTCTGTCTTTAGTTTATTGTGTGTTGGTCTAAGCAAGCTGAGATCATTTGCAATGGAAAACATGTAACTTGTTTAAAAGTGTTTCTGGTAGTTTTAGCTTTATGTTAAAAACATGAAATATAATGGCGTTAGGTGACTCTAAGACTACATTAATAGGAAAATGAGTCTTTTCATGTTTATGATTTAAATCTTTTGTGGTAATTGCTTTTTAACGGAAGTTATTGATATCATAAGTTATTATTACTATTTGAACACAGGTGGATGTGAAGGATTTTCATTTCAAAACCAAGTGGTTTTGACTTTTTCTGTTGAATGAACAACTGTGCCTAGTGGAATTTTTGCAGAAGTGTTTATGCTTTGTTAGCATTCCAGTTTGCATTGTTATAAAGAGGTATAGATGCCTCGAATGTTACGTGTTTGTCAGTGAGCCGGCTCAGGATTCTATTTCAGCTGTCTTTTCTCACTGCATAAGTTGAGCTTTAAATACGTGCTGTGGACATCAGGCCTCCTGCCAGCAGTTCTTGTAGCTTCTTTTTCATTCCTGCCCCTCTACCTGTGTTTGTCAGCTACGGCACTGCGTGGTTGTTTCAAAGTACATTTCTGGGCCACCTCAGGAAACCCATGCATCTGCCTGTCATTTGGCAGCAGAGCCCCTGACTGTGCCCCACAGGGCTCTGCTTCATATCCACATCTCATCTGGCTGTATGAAGATCTAGGAAAAGGGGAAAGGAGAGGACAGTTGAGGCACTTGACCATATTCAGTTTTATTTATTTATTTTTAATTTGTTTTTTTTTTTCTCCAAGTCCACCAGTCTCTGAAGTTAGTAGTCAGTATGAGATAATCAGGCCTAATCATGTTGTGATTCTCTTTTCTTAGGGGAGTGGAATATTCTATCCCCACAAGAAGGATTATACCTTATAGACGTGTCTTGTTCAGATTCTGTATTTACCCATTTTATTGAAACATATACCAAGTTCCATGTATTTTTGTTACAAATCTTCTGGAAAAAAAAAAAAAAGACAGTGTGAAACATTAAAAGGCATTAATAATATCCACATGTGCGCTTTTCTTCTGAACCAATGGTCTTGGGAGTCCTTGCAAGAGTATTGAATAGATCTCTGACACTGTATTAAGGAGGTAGCTGCTGAGTAGGCTCCAATGATGCTATCCTGATTTGAGAGAGACTGATGTGTTTGTTGCTATTTCCCATCTTCTGGCAGCATCAGGCACATACGTGGTCAATAAATGTTTACAGGAATGTTGATTGTCATGTTCAGATTATATATTCACATGCACTTAATCTTCTTAGGTATCACTTTTTAAGCAGAAACTCCTCTCTTTTTTTGAGAGAGTCTCACTCTCTCCTAGTCTGGAGTGCAGTGGTGCAGTCTCGGCTCACTGCAACCTCTGCCTCCCAGGTTCAAGCAATTTTCCTGCTTCAGCCTTCTGAGTAGCTGGGATTACAGGTGCGCACACCACCATGCCTGGCTAATTTTTGTATTTTTTAGTAGAGACAGGGTTTCACCATATTGGCCAGGCTGGTCTTGACTTCCTGACCTCATGATCTACCCTCCTCAGCTGCCCAAAGTTCTGGGATTACAGGTGTGAACCACTGCACCCAGCCAAAACTCCTCTTTTATGTAGTCTTTACCAAAAACCGTCCCAGTTTGTATTTCCTTTTTGTGGTAAGTAATTGTAGCATACTAATAGTAACAGCTACATGAATGTTTACTGCAACACGTGCAGGCACTGTGCTTGACACACCCTGGCTGATGTAATCCTTACAACAATCCTATTAGAGAAGGTGCTTTTGTACCCATTTATAGATGGAGAAACAGGTTCACAAGTGTGAGTCACTTTCTTAGGATTGCATCAAGTTTTTGAGGTCAAAGTTGGATCTGTGACTTCAAAGGCCCAAACTTAGTTACCTTGCTGTGCAGCCTCCCATTCGTCTCTGACAAATGGAAGCATTAGGTTTAGGTGCAGAATCACTATCAAAAGGTGCTGTCTGCACACTTAATAAATGCCTTGTCTTGGTCAAGCGTGGTGGCTCACACCTGTAATCGCAGCACTTTGGGAGACTGGGGCGGGCGGATCACAAGGTCAGGAGATCGAGACCATCCTGGCCAACATGGTGAAACCCCATCTCTACTAAAAATACAAAAAATAGCTGGGCGTGTTGGTACGCACCTGTAGTCCCAGCTACTCAGGAGGCTAAGGGATACCCAGATAGCTGATAAAATATTCCTGGGTGTGTCTGTGAGGGTGTTTCTGGAAGATATTAGCATTGATGCAAATCAGGAGACAGTCAAGAGGGCTACCCTCACCAATGTGGGTAGGCGTTGTCCAATCCTTGAGGCCCAAATCAAACAAAAGGCAGAAGGGTGAATTTGCTATTTGTCCTTGAGCTTGGACATCCATCTCCTGCCCTCGAGCTTGGACATCCACCGTCTCCTGCCCTCAGACCTTGCTGCTCTGGTTTTTGGGACTTTAGACTCGGACTAGGACTTGCACCCTTGGCTCTCTGGTCTCAGGCCTTCAGGTTTGGACTGAAACTTCACGACTCACTTTCCTGGGCCTCCAGCCTGCAGATGGGACTGTGGGACTTTTCAGATTCCTTAATCACATGAGCCAGTCCCTCCTAAAAAATCTTTCTATAATTTATGTACACACATATGTATAAAATCCATTGGTTCTGTTTCTGTGGAGAGCCCTAATGCACCCATTCATTGTATGGTAGATTTTTTTTTTTTTTTTGAGACAGAGTTTCACTCTTCTTGCCCAAGCTGGAGTGCAACGGAGTGATCTCAGCTCACCGCAACCTCTGCCTCCCGGGTTCAAGCGATTTTCCTGCCTCAGCTTGCTGAGTAGCTAGGATTACAGGCATGCACCACCACACCCGGTGAATTTTGTATTTTTAGTAGAGATGGGGTTTCTCCATGTTGGACAGGCTGGTCTCAAACTCCTGACCTCAGGTGATCCACCTGCCTTGGCCTCCCAAAGTGCTGGGATTACAGGTGTGAGCCACTGTGCCTGGCCAATATCCATATTTTTAATAAACTTATTTAAACAAGCAGCTTAGAAGAGGTGGGGGTGGAGGGTGCAGCTTGAAGTATGGGCCCAATACTAGGTAACAGGAATATGTCCATCAAGTTTTCATATACAGAAATAGACCAGACTAGAAAGATGATACAGCAGAAGGGCCTTCCTGACCATCATCCACCAGGGTTCTAACAGCAGTCTGAAGTTGAGGAATGGATTAAATATGCACTGCATTTGGGAGTAATTTCTGACACAGCAGTAGATAATTAATACGTGGGAGCTGGAGAGGGAGGTTACAAAGCAAGCAGGCCAGGGTTTATACCCCCTTTATATCACAGCACTCAATTTTTAACATTTCACAAGATTTTATTTAGGAAAATAAAATGGATTACGTTTTTAAACGTGAGATTCCATAGCAAGGAAGTAGGGTTTCATTGTAGTAACTTTCTTGCTAATGCACTTCATTGATTCATTGACACATTGCCCTCTGGGCACTTTTTTGTGCCATGAGGTCTCACAAGGAGCTGAGCAGAGCAGACTGGATGTTTCTGCATCCCTTAGCCCTCTAGGTGAGTGTGATCTCAGCAGTGAACGTCCTTTAGTACAATTGTTCATCTGTCCAGCACTATTTCATAGTATTTGAGATTGGTAAGGGAGGTGAGCTCCTCCAAGTCTGTTTGCAGATGCAGAAACTGAGGGCTAAGTAGGCAAAGCTACCTAGTCAACATCAAGGTCAAGGTTAAACAGCCAAACACAGAAGTCAGTTTTAACTTCCAGTTATCTGTCTTTCCACACCACCATCTTGTCCATTATCATTTTTGTAGATTCTCCTACATTCTTAAAAACACCCAGCCCATGTAAGCATACTCTTGACTGCAGTGAAATTGAAGAGTGTGAAGAAAGCATACATTGCTTAAAGCCGACAGACAGGTCCTTGGCCCTGCAGTCAACACATAGCAGGTATGCAGGAAACACATGCTACTGACCTAAAGTGAGGCATCAGATGCCCTTGCCATTGGCTTTCTTGTGCATATGATGGTGATACCGTCTTGTACGTCAGGAAAATGAGGTAGCACCTGCCTAGTAATTGCAAAAGCAAACAGCCTGGGTGTTTGCTAAATCAGTAAAGGAAGAAAATTATGGACTATCCTTTATGTCCAAGGCACAGTGGACACAAAATGAATAAGCACACCTCATCTAGGGTGAGTGTGATCAGGTAGGGTGAGTGGGTGTAAAAAAATTGTTATTCCTTCATTTCTTCAACAAATACTATGTACTAGGCACTTTTCTAGGCAGTAGAGCTGAGCAGTGAACAAACATCAGAAATCCTCATCCTCAGAGTGCTTATGTTTTGAGGTGGAGGTAAACAGGCAAAACTCACACAAATAAGTAAATCATACAGAAGTTAGGTGGTGGTAAGTGCCATGAAGAAAAATCTAAGCAGAAGGGGGTTAGGGCTGTGGGGCAGAGGCAGTGGAATTTTAATTAAGGTGGTCAGGGCAGACCTCAGTGAGAAGGTGACAATTGGCTGAAGACTCAAAGGAAGGGAGGGAGGAAGCCAAGCAGATACCTGGGGAAAAGTGCCTTCCAGGCACAGAGGTCAGCAAATGCAAGGGCCCTGAGGCAGCGTATGCCTGGGAGGTTGGAGTAATGTCCAGTACAAAGGAACTGAGTGGGGAAAGCAGACACAGTGGCAGACAGAACAGGGAGAGGGGCAGATGGTGTAGGGTCTTGAAGCACTGGCCCCACTGGGAGCCATTGGAGGGCTCGGAGCAGAGGATTGGTAAGTAAGTAAGAGGATCTTACTTACAGGTTCTCAGGAGCACTCTGGGGCTGGGCTGAGGGCAGTCTAAGGTTGAGGGAAAGGTGGAAGGTGGGAGCCCAGCAGGGAGGCCACTGTAGTAATCTAAGGGAGAGAAGACGATGCCTCAGACATGGCAGTAGCAGTGGACAGATATTCTCGCCTAATTTGAGACTAGTGATCTCATTCTGACCTTAATTGAGTGGAATTTGCTGTTGGATTGGATGTGGGGTGGGAGAGAGAGAGGAGTCAAGGATGACTCCAGAATTTTGGACTTCAAGAATTGGAAGGATTGAGGATGGAAGTGCCATTTCACCAAGGTGGGAACACTATAGGAAGATGGGTGGGGATTATCAGATACTTGGTTTTTGGGCACTGAGTGTGAGATGCTTAGGAGATGTGTGAGTAGAGATGGTGAGTGTCTGACAGTTGGACATGAGTCTGGAGGTTCAGAATGAAGTCCAGGATACAGTTAAACGAATGTCACAGCATCAGCCCAGAATGGGTGTTTAAGGTCTCAAGAATGATGAGGTACCACACAGCATGAATGCTGATAGAAAAGAGATAAGCTCTGCTAGGAACCTGCAGCTGCAGGAGGGGCCCACACTGGAACAGAGCTGCCTGAGGATTCCCTGGGGATCCTGTCCATGATGAGGGATGGCAGCATGTAGATCTGGAAACTCGGGGGTGAGGAAAGGACGCTCCAGGCAGACACCTGGCAAGCAAAAGCATGGATGTAGTCCAGGTTCGGGACTTGGAGGGGCATGGAGACAAAAAGAAAAGCGCCCAAATGCAGGCCAACGCTGGGCACCATTCTAGGGCAGTGGGTGAGGCTCTCAGCCACAAAATCCAAGGAGGCACATGCTCTCCCAGACCAAGATCGGACCTTTAACAGTGCTGAGAGGTCAGTTTCCCATCCCTTCATCCAAAGCCTGGTCCTGCAGAACTGACAGACAGCTGGGCTCTGGGCAGATTAAATTCCCAACTCACTCCAGACCCAGGCCACACAGGTTTGAATCCCAGCCACAGTTTTTGCCAAGTTACCTGTGTTTAACTTCATTTGGCTTCAGTTTCCTCTTCTGTAAAATAGGAGTAGTAATTGTACCCTTTAGGCCAACAGATGAGCCGCTTTTTCGGCTTCTTTTGTTGAACTGCCTGTCTTGAATTTGGGGCCGGGGAGACCAAAGCCTTGTGTGGAGGCTGCTGTC